TTCACTTTTTCGTTTTTCATTTTTTTTCGACTGATATGTGTGCAATATATATGGTTTCTAAATTCTGTTGTTATTTGGCTTCTTGATCAGTGTTTATTTATTTATTTGATAATTTTTCTTCTACCGGTTAACTGTTAGTGAAACTTTTTTTTTTTCATTCTTAATGCTACTTTTGATACAGTTGATAAAAATTGGGGGTAAAAAATCGCTGGCAAAACTGCAGCTTCTGCATTACTGCTTTAGCTGCTTTTGCCACTAAGGTTACTGCTGGGATTTCAACTGGCAGATTTGGGAGACGAAAAACGTTTTCCTTTTTTTTTGCTTGTTTGTTTTGTTCATTTTTTTTTTCTTTTAAGTTTTAAAATTGGTAATTTTTTTTTCTTGTCTTTTGTTTAGATGCTGTTAGTGCAAAAAATGGATAGGGATTATTGGGTGAAAAAAAAATAGAGTTTTTTTCTTGGATAGTATTGGAAAAACAGAAGAACTTTAAAAAATATTTTAAAGAATATTGAGGAAACAGTAGAAGAAAGATAGATGGTGGGAAGGCCCGGGAGAGAGGTGGGTTGGGTACGATAGAGAGAAGCCAAATAGAGACAAATAAAAGAAAAAAAAAAGGAAAACACTGTTCAACTTATTTTTATTAAATAAGTCGGAGGGAGGAAGAGAGAAATTTTAATTCAATTTTTTTTTCTTTTTCATTTTTCGTTTTTCTCCGCTTTTGTCATCCAAATTATCCATCGTTGGTGGTGGTGGTGGTGATAGTGGTGGTGCTACTGCTGCTGCCGCTGCCGCTGCTACTGCTAATGAAAGACGGGCAAAAGATTGAAAAATACGATGAATATATGCTGTAGTTTTCGTTTTATTTTTGTTTCAATGTATGTGGAAGATTCTGAAGACAAAAAAAAGAAACCAAAAACAGAAGTAGCAAAATTGAGAGAGAGAAAAAGTTAGTATACCATTTAAGTAAATTTATTTGTGAAAATGAGAGGTGAAGGAAATTAGCGGGGGGAGAGAGCTGAAAAGATGACAGAGAGACGGGGAGAGAGAGAGGGCAAATAACAATTTGGTTTGTGAAATTTTTCACTCATTCATTCAGTGTTTTTTTTTTTTTTTTTTTTTTTTTTTTATTTTTTAAATT